TTCCTAGAGCTCGAATGACTTCTTCATTTACCATGTGAATGGTGGTCGCGCTAAATCACTAATTGGTAAAAGTAAGAATTCATGGGTGGCCATTGGATTGGGTCCCAGTAGCTGAATGTTATACGAGCTTGCCTTGTAACCAGAAGGTCCTCAGTTCGAACTCCGATGGCTGCGTAATGCCGATGATTCTCAAACTAGGATGAAACAGCTGTCAAGTACTCCATGGAAACAATCTTTGTCAAATTTCTCCTGTTCATGGTGACTAGTGCTAGTTGTTGTTGTTGCTACTGTTGGTCGCTTATCTGCATCATCTCCGTCTTCTATATGTTCACCTGCAGTCCTGTCTTCTCTGCCTACCTTTTTAGCCAGTTTGTTGGCTTTCGCCTATAAGTCTCCGAGTTTGTGTGATATTAGACAAATGTTATCTGCGAAATCCAGATCTTCTACAGTTTTCTTATTGGCCCAACGTATTCTTGTCTTCTCACTTCCCACAGACTGATGCATAATGCAATCCACGACAACTGAGGATATCATCACTGATAATAAGCAGGCAGCTCTGTCTTATCTCGATATTCACTTGGAACACCTCACTCAGTTTCTAGTTGTGGATCACTCGACACGTGGCACTGTCATATAGCCAGCTGCTGAATTATATTGATAAAGACTTAAACATTGCACGCCATAGTGTTGAAGTAGTTTTCAAATTACTTCGTAGTCGGCTTTGTCTAAGGCTTTTTCAGAGTTGATGAAAGTGAGGCAGAGGTTTGACTGTCATTCTTTACCTATTTTGATGACGATGAGTAGAGTCTCAATTTGATTAGTACATGATATGGCTTTCCTAAATCCAGCGAGCTCGTTCTTGGCTGGCGGAGTTCAGCACCAAGTGCATCTCTCATTCTCTCCAGGATGACACAACTTAGTATTTTACTTGGAGGGAACAAGAGCATTATTCCACCCCAGTCAGTTCTTGCGGAGATCGAATTCGCTCTCTTCTCTTAGCTTGACAAGGTTGCCCTGCTGCTTTCTCAGACTTCAGTAGTTCAACGGCATGCAAGATTTTTACTTCTTTTGGAGGATTGGCGTCCTCTGGTAGGCATTTTTGTGAATGCTGTTAGTGATTTATCTGGACGAGTTGCAGCTGATGGTCGATTCAAGAATCCTTTGAAGTGGTCATTCCATTGTTTTATTCGTTTCTCCTCCTTGCTAATTAGGTTCTCTTGGGCATCTTTTATTGATTTCATCATCTGGGTAGGTCTCTTTCCGAATAAGGACCTGGTTATCTGATATAATGTTCTCAGTTCTCTTTTACTTGCACCCTGCCTACTTGTTCTGCTTCAGTTGCCGGCCAGTGTGTGGTAGAATAGTCTTTCGCCTTTCCTAGCACTTCTCTTCACTCCTTTATTCAGTGCAGTCTACACTAAACTCAGCTTCTCTCTCTGTTGTGAATCTTTGCATTGAGCCATCTTCTCTTTCAATATACTCCTCTCCCCTCTTCTGTTAGCTTCCAGGTCAGTGTCTGGTGAGAGCCATTCCTTGTCTTGTCTCTTCTTTGCTCATAGAACAGTTGTACACAATCCCTTGAATATCGCCTTCAGATAGTTAGTTCCAATGTTCTTCCACACAGGTTTCCTCAGTAATGCCACATAGTGCCTCCGACTTTGCTGTGATCTGATCTGTAGTGAAGCTATCTTCTGTAGATTTTTCCTTCAGTTTCTGAGTGTTGAACTTGAATTGTGGTATGTTTGCAAATGTTTTCAGGGATTTCAGCTTCACCTTGACGGTTCCTTTAAGTAGATGATCGTCTCAGCCCACATCTGCTCCCCTTCTCCACTTTGTATCGAGTAGGCTAGCTGCGTCGCCACTTCCTTGAGCCGCAATGAGATGAAGTCTATATGGTTTTTGGTGTATCCATCAGGTGAAACCCATGGCGCCTTGTGTATGTCCTTGAGTTTGTACACGCTGCCTCCTATCACCAGATCATTGACAGTTCAGAAGTCTGAGGATAATTCTACGTTCTCACTCATTTTGCTGGGCCAGAGCGTCTCGGCTCATGACGAGTTCTCTTTGCGTATTATTTGCCCCCATTTCGGCAATCACACCCGACCTGCTGCACCCTACTGGTCACTCCAACTCGCTGAAGACATCGGCTAGGGGTCGCACTATGTCGTGAATTGGCAGAAGTTAGAATTCATGGGCCATTGGATCGGGTCCGATTGGCTTAATGGTATACGAGCTTGCCTTGTAACCAGAAGGTCCTGGGTTCGAATCCCGGTGGTGCGTACTGCCGAAGAATCCCAAACTAAGACGAAACAGTTGTCCAGTACTCCTAGGCTTTCCAATGGTTCTCTAACTAATGTCAGCTCATGATGAAAATCCTTTCTTCTTCTCTTGTTCCGCGTTGTTTGTAGCACTGTGCGTAGCATTAGATAATTGTAACCGTCCTTCCTTTTGAGTTGAATCCTGCTGTCATAACCCTGTAGGAGGCTATTGGTACCCACTGCATAATAGCTTTGGCTGCCATTTACTGCCTCAGAGTGCTCGTGGTTGTCGTTTGGGTGACCAGGCCGCAGTAGAATACTGACTCTCCAGTTGACCATTTCGATAATCCACATGCATTCCATCTGTTCTTGCAGATTCCCAGAACCTCTATACCATATCTTCTCACAGTCAGAATTTATGACACTCTGTACATATCTATATATAATTCTGTTAGAAGTACCGAGGCTGATATAGTTATGTTGTTTATGAGAACGTCGTCAGACAATGGATCGCAAATCCTACTTCCTGTTCACTCAATGTATAAGCTTTGACATATTCATGTAAATTGGTATATGTAACAAGAAGCAACATGTAAGGGGGATTATTTCAGTAAGTAACGTGTTCTGCAAAGTGAATTGTGACTAATTTAACAACTGTAAAAGCCTCCTTCGGCGTTGTGTTCATTCCGAACACTTCGTCACCTTTGATTCTGAGTTTTAAGAAAAATGGATATTTCTATGCTTTACATGAAATTTACGTTCATGATCGCAGTTGTGAGTTTATCCACATGCATTAGAGGATATACTCCGTCTGCTGCCTACTTTTCGACAGTGGCGAGTTCGATATTGAATCCTTTCTTTCCTTGACCTGTATTACCAACCTTCACTTGTTTAGTTAAAATTAACCTTAACCGACTGTAACTTTGTTTGACAAACTTAATGTACACATACATACAAAACAATGCATATATATTTGCGATTGTACAGCGAAGAAGATGAATTCGCCGAAAAGAGACTCTTCGCTGATCTACGTGTTTTGTTTTCATGAATCCTTTCTCACCAATCTATTGTTTAATTATGTAATATTGATGAAATACACCTCTATACTTAATAACTGAAGTAATATGAGTATCGTGGTGCCTTTCAGATTCTATGCAAAAGTGGAAAAGTGCACAAAGATTTGAAGTATCCTCTTATTTGTATACAAAGTTCGATCACTGTAAATTCATAGATAATACAGTACCTTAGGTTATCTTCTACTATGACTGTGACATATTCCACATCAATAAACGCTCAGCGCATCTCATGTTCTTACTGAAGAAAAATGATTAGAATCTTCTGGTAAAATTATCTGTAATTTACAAGGGGAAATCAATAATTACGAAGTTCCACAATGGTTTTCATTGGTTATTTATGTGGCAAATCTCTCGGAAATTAATATGATGCTGGTTAGTGACTGGCTTGCCAGGAGTCCTAGTGAGAAATCGTGACCAGTGAAGCCCACACGTTGGGCAGTCACGATAAATACTCACCGGTGGGTGATATTGGCTAGTGCCAGTGGCGCTAAAATCACAAAATGGTAGAAGTTAGAATGTATGGGTTGGCCAATGAGTTGAGTGCCAGTGACTGAATGGTCTACGAGCTGGCTTGACTTGTAACCAGAAGGTCCTGGGTTCCAACGCTTCTAATGGGTGCGTACTACCAGTGAGTCCCAAACTAATGAAACGAAACAGCTGTCCAGTGTAGCTTACCGGTTTCAAGGGGTTCTTTACGGATATTGATTGATCCGTGATCAAACTTGAATTTGCGAAATAGTTACAATTCCGTTTTTAAAACACCGAACAAATAAATGCATACACGAGTCTGATCACGAATTAATGTCATTCTGGAAAGCATTGGAAAGCCATGAAGTACAGGACACTTATTTCGTCCTAGTTTGGGACTCTTCAGCACTACCCACCCACTGGGTTTCGGATTCAGGACTTTTTAGTCACAAGGAAAGTTCATAGACCACTCAGCCAATCGGACCCAATGTAGTGGCTCATGAATTTTAACATTTGTCAATTTGTGACTTAAGCGCGACGACTATTGGTCCCCAAGCTCCTCCTAACGACTTTCCAGTAGAACTCTTGGCAATTTCCTCGTGTAGACAGTCACCAGCGAGAGCATCAGATTAATTTTCAAGCGTTAGTTTGTAGTGATTGAATTTTTGTTTTCAAGTATGATCTAAAGATGGATGTCAGGTTGTGTAACCATCTTGACATTTGATTGACTCAGCTGTTTACATAATTTTTATCTAAACCAAGCATTAATTAATTATTGTGCAGAATCAGTTCAGTAACGCGTGCACATTCAGCATGATTACTGATTTCAAGTTTTCAGTATGTGTATCAAAATGTCACTTCTGCTCATTACTTATTACTTTTTTTTTCATTTAGAAAATTGACATTTTAATGTTGATAGTTAATAAAAATGTTTTTTGTCGTAATGTAAACAACACCAGAGATGATAAATATCCTGTAGAACGACGCATGTGATAACTGCAAAGTTCATTATCATCATAAACACAAGTTTTCATTGTTTCAATCCCTTCTTGAGATAAATGAATGCACATATACATATATTTTTTCGTGTATGTGTTTAAACCAAGGCACATATTGTACCCTGTACATCATGGCGATAACCGGAACAATATAAATAGTAATTTTTACAAATCAACAACTAATATTACTCTAACTTTCTGGTAGAAATTTTAAAATTCTGATTCTGAATTCTAAACGAAATTATTAACAAGTTGGAATCGCAATGGGAACACCACGTTCGATTTTATACATTACATGTTTAATGGGCATATTACTAAACTGGTGCAGTGGGACACCATTTCCTGAAAAGTCAACCCTTAACAGTCCAACAGTTGATCGTATATTTTCTAAAGTTGCAATAGCTGAACAATACAACCTTCTAAATACCGATAATAATAATAATAATGATAATGTTAATCATATTGAACCAGAGATAATGCCAATATCTCCTGTACGATTCGGTGGTCGACATCGTCGGCATAATCGTGAAATGCGACGTCTTTTACGAAAACAACGACGTATGATGAGAGAACAACGCAGAATGTATCGTCGAGGTTATGGGCCTTTCTATAGGAATCGTTTATAAATAAAAAAAACTTTGGTAATTCATCCTCCTCCTAGTAAGTTTCACAAGAGCAATATCGATTTCTTCTAATAAAACATTCTAATAGACTATTTTAAAATTGGCGCATATTATTTAAACAAAATAATTATTTATAACTATTCCATTCAATGTTTCAATGTTTTTATTACTCGTTTAGTTATTGTTATTATTTTTATGGCATTTTTTTACATAAAATTGTCATATACTTATTACTGTTATGTTGTTAACTTTAACAAAAGTAGAAAGAGTTATTTGTAAAAAAAATATTTAATTAATTATTTAATTACTTAATTATTATGCTTCATTAATGAAATGAAAGACACTTTGTTCATTCATTAAATTTAAACTGTGAGTATACGCCTTCTATTCTTTCGTTGATCTCTGTAAGTAATTGGGATACCTCTGGATTTGTAGTCAGAGACTGCTGGAATTCAAGGTGATTTAAAGTAGATGAAAAGACTTAGGATATTGTAGATTTCAAAACAGAAGGTTTTGCATTGACGAAATTGAGTCTTCTGACTCGATACTCGTATACTTCTGTTATTTCTCTTACTCATGCTACAGAGACTTCATGGTTCTTTTATCATTATTGATTATAAATACTATCGATTCTTCATGAAATCTAATGTGTTAGTAGCATTAAGGCTAAGACAGTTAATATACACACGATCAAACAAACATGAGGATTTGTGTTGGAAGTGAGAAGAAATTTGAGGTAAAGCAAACAAACTGGTGTCAGGTACTGCCAACCATAGGTGAAATCACGATAATAAACGAAGATAAACTCTCAGGTAAAATCAGATTGCAGAATATACACATTGGATCATAGGAATTATTAAAAAGACGATTGCAGAGAAGGAAATCTTCCTTTCGACGAAGTCACCGTCAACTGGATAGCTGTTCATTCGCTTATTTATAATAAATGTGTGGGAAAGTTCTACAATAATTTCTGGTCAAGGGTCAAATTCATAAAATTACAATTAGGAATTAAAATGCCATAATAAACAAAAGGGTGCAGCCGATAAAACTCAATCAAAGTAGCATCATGATTACTGAGAAGATTGATATATTGTGCAATTAGGGGTTAGAAATGCAGAAATAATAAAATGACGAAAATAGACAGGAAGTTCGGATATGAAAATATGAAAGTGTAAGTGGGGATTAAGAAAAACTTTAAATAAGATGAATAAACAGGAAGTTTGGATAAGAAACGCAATGAGATAGTCACTATGTGAATAATTACCAGTTTATGATGACCATGGCAGGCAGGGAAAAGGGTTAGACTTACTTCTTTTGGATACATAGCGTGTGTTTGAGCTTTTGGATAACTAGTGTCTCGGCTATGCTCAGGTGTCTTAATTTTACTCCCTGTGATAAGTTTAATCGAAACTTATATGTTATTTTGAAGGATTTCTCGAATAGTCCTGAATTTCCTGAATTGACCAGATATTCTGTCACTGAACTATATACCCGTTTTCGTTCTCCTTTTACTAGCCAGTCTGGATAGTGTTCACGAGCGTGTTTTTCAAGTTGGAACATGGTACGGCCGATGTACTCAGTCAGCTCCGTAAGAGCAATGCGACAGCTTGTCTCTCACTTTTTGGCTGAACAGTCTCTTGCAGGAAAACATCAGTCGTAGGCTTTTAGCGAAGTATGCTTCCCTCAGAGATTTCCAGAGGCGTTTACGAAGGATTTCTGCTTCAGTGTCACCTTTGAGTTCTCGGTCGGTCGGTCGGTTTTCGACATAGAACTTTGCACATATGTGCGCCAGTTCAAGTCGCCACACTCCAGAGAGAACACAAAGCAAAAGAAGAAAGTAGAAGAAATGCATAATATAGACAGTAAACAGAGGTGTGAGACAAAGGAATAGTAATAACGAAGAACAAAATCATAAGACATTGGAAATCATAAGTCACAAGGAGTGGATGCATCTGAGCCACTGAGAGCGATTTTGAGCCATGTCACCAATTGTTTCCAACCATTGGTTTTAACCGTCCCGAGGAACCCAACCAGGAAGTCTACACCTTCCTACGTGGCTTAGACTAAATGTTGTGGATTTCATTGACTAGTGCCATGTTTTCGTTTGACCGCCACTAGCTCTTTTCCAGCCTGGCCCTATATCAGCTAACATTGCCCGTCGAGGAAGGCGATGACTAGGCATACGTAGCACATGTCCTAACCATCTCAGTCGATGTAATTTCTCAGTCTCGTCGATTGATTTCCCCTCCTTACCTAGCACTCGACGCCTAACCTCAATATTGCTTACCTTATGATACCACTTCACGCGGGAGATAGACAGATAATCTTTTCATGTCTTCTGCTCTCAATGGCCATGTCTCACAGCCATAAAGGAGGACGGAGCGGACTCTTGAGCTGTACACATGCCCTTTGGTCGATAGTTGGATATCACGTCTACGCCAGAGACGGCGTAAACTGGCATATGCAAAACTAGCCCTCTGTATTCGTGCTGAGATTTCGTCAGAGATCAACCCGTTGGGGCTGATGGTACTTCCCAAGTAAGTGTAGCGGTCAACGTGTTCTACCACTTCACTTTCTATTTTTAACCTAGGGGTCGGTGAAGCCCAATCTTGCGGCATCATCTTGCATTTTACAGGGGCGGATCGCATGCCAAACATACGAAGATTGTTGCTCAAGGTGTTCATTAGACTCTGCATTTTGTCAGCGTCCTCGCCTAGAAGGACTGTATTGTCTGCATGTTCTAAGTCGACGAGATTATTCCCTGGTATCAAGTCAATCCCTGAGTCTCTGAAGTGTGTTAGGGTTAAGTCCATTAGTACATCTATGATGAAATTGAATAGGAATGGGTATAATGGGCATCCTTGACGGACGCCACTAGTCGCCACCACTTCAGATGACAACTCGCCATTAGCCCTCACCTGGCTGCATGAGTACGAGTAGAGTGCCTTAATCAGTGCAATGTATTTTTTCGGCATTCCCTTTACAGCCAAGCATCGCCAGAGAACCTCCCGGTCGACAGAATCGAAAGTAGCCTTTAGGTCAAGAAATATAGTCATTGTCGGACGCCGGTAGGAATGCCTATGTTCTAGAATCTGTCGAAGAGTGAAGATATGATCAATACACCCTCTTCCTGGCCTAAAACCTGCCTGGTTTTCCCGTGTTTGTGCCTCCCGAGCACCACTTAGTCTACGCAGTATTATTGAGCCTAGGATTTTAGATACTATATTAGTCAAGCTAATCGCTCTGTGATTATCACAAGATGACTTGTATCCCTTCTTGTATATCGGGATGATCAGTGACTTACACCAACCCGATGGGACTTCCTCTGATTCCCAGACGCTGCCTAGAACCTCAGTTAACGCAGACAGTAAACTGTCTCCACCGTACTTAAATACCTCTGGAGTCATTCCATCAGGTCCCGCTGCTTTTTCTTCCTTCAGATTAGTGAGAGCTTTAGTAACCTCATTTAAGGACGGAGGACCTGTGTCTATCTCCCATTCAGGGAGGTGTTGGATGTTCGGCAGGTTAAGTGTGGCTATATGCCAATTAAACTGCTCCTCATAGTGTTCTTTCCAGCGCTCCAGACGTGTATTCTGGGAGCTAATTATGGTGCCATTTTTTTCCGAGATTGTTTCGCTTATCATTTGCCTTTTGCCGCCTGTTTCCCTGATAAGCCTGAGTAGTTGTCTGGTGTTGCCAATCGCCGATGCTTTTTCCATCTCTCTCGCTTTTGTCGCCCACCACTGTTCACGGCAGTTGCGAAGACTTTTTGTTAGTCTTCTTTTAAGTACCTTTCGCTCCTCATCATAATCGAAGCTCGCTGGAATCAGTCTTCTTGCGTCAATCAGTTCGGATGAGGCGGTAGAGATCCAATGGCTTTTATTAACTTTAGGTTTTAGCTTATTGACAGCTTTCATGGCTGTGTCCACAGCTAACTGTATGTTGTGCCAGCCTACCTCAGGGGAAGTCCTGCTGTCGACCCCAGAAACTAGTTTCGCTATTTCTACCTTAAATAACGACTCAGTGTCACGATCTAGTTGGGGACGTAACTGTTTCGTTGCCGTCAATTTCTTATGTCCATTTAGTCGTAAGCATAAACATGCGCGAACCAGAACGTGGTCAGAGTCTACGCACGTGTTCCAGAAGGAGCGACAGTCTTCTACTGACCATCGCCAACGATACCCTATGACTATGTGGTCTATCTGAGTCTAGAGTTGATTTGGTGATGGGGGTCGCCAGGTTACACAATGTCTTTCTTTGTGCCTAAAGTTAGTGCTAACTAGGAACAGATGGTTATCTGAGCAAAACTGGAGAAGACGATCACCGTTGTCGGTTCGTCGGCAGGGAACTCCATACGTACCACCTACATACTTCTCAGTCTGGCACAACTTCCCTACTTGGGCACTGAAGTCGCCTGCCAATACCACTATGTCTGAACGTTTTGCTTTTTGCAGCAAATTAGACAGTTTCCGGTAGAAGTCATCTTTTAATTAATCAGAACTGCAATCTGTTGGGGGCGTAAGCGGAGACTACGAAAAGGCAACGACGGGTAGCGCCGTCTTTCCTTCTTGTAACGGACCCGTTCAGACGGACCGCGCACATACGACTATCTACTGGGATCCAGTCAAGGAGTGATTTTTCCGCCCTAATACTCAGTATTATCCCTACATCTGTGAGTTCTCGTGAGCTAGCTGAGGGGTCTTCCGACACCCTTAAAGTGAATTTTGCAGATTCACCTTGTTGACCGGGTGAGGTCAAGTGAATGAACACACTCAGGTCTTGTATGCGTGTCTCCGAAACACAGCATACATCCATGGCTCTAGATTCCAGGGTTCTTGCTAGTGATGCCTGTTGTCCGATTTGGCAGAGGGTCCTGACGTTAAAGGCTCCTATATGAAGTTGGCGACGTGGCTTTAATAGGCTATCTGGGTTGTTTCTATGGCTCTCATCGTTGTTTGTGGACGCAGAGTGAAGTGAAGATGGCTCGCTAGCCTGAAGAATAGTGCTAGCTGTAGTAGAGCAGCAAGATGGGGAAGGTGATGTAAGTAGGGGAGAGTGTTGCTCAGGTAGGCTTCGTGTGCTTTTGGAAGTGTGTGGCCGGTTGTTACTTCCCGGCTGCCCACACCGTGGAAGTTGGTTGGGTCTTCGGTTACCTGAAATAGAGAAGAGGTTAGTGTGGCGTGACCGCAGAGCCCAGGGGACAACTGCTTGAGGCCGGTCACACGCCGCCTGTTTTTGTTTGTTCTTATTCATTTGGTGTGTCTCACTAGCAAATTTATCACTTCTGCCCTGTGACACGGCAGCAGAAAGCGCGTACGTTGTTAATCCGGGCCCCGACCGATCCGGCATGATATTTTGTGAGTTTCTTTGAAT